CCTAGGTAGCTAGTTGATCTCTGGTCAGGGTGGTACAGGAGGTACCACCTGCAGAGACAACCAATCCATGTTTTTCTCACATCGATGTTTCTCTCTCTCTCTTCTTCTCCCTCTCTTTCTAAAATCAATTAAAAACATTTTTAAAATATATTTCATTGATTTTACAGAGAGGAAGGGAGAGGGATAGAGAATTAGAAACATCAATGAGAGAGAAACATCTATCAGCTGCCTCCTGCACACCCCCAACTGGGGATATGCCCACAACCAAGGAGCATGCCCTTGACAGGAATCAAACCTGGGACCCTTCAGTCTGCAGGCTGATGCTCTATCCACTGAGCCAAACCGGTCAGGGCGGGGGAAAAAATTTTTTTTAAGATTTTTTACTAGCCATCACTGTTTTTTTCTTTTTTTTAAACTTTACAATTCATCCTTCCCTAACATATTTGGTATTCAAAAGACAAACATCCAATCAAATATAGCTATAGTAATATGTAGACTATCCTTGTGCGCAAAAGTATATTTGCAACTCTTTGTAGCAATTTACTTGATAAGTGGACTAGGATGAAAAAACAGCAGATTCTCTATGTATTTCTAACGGCTGCAGGGGTCTGGGATATTCAAACTAAGTAATTCAGGTCTTTGTAGAAGCCACTTTAACAGGAAATAAAATACTGTGTATTGAAGAACGATTGTGTATTGAGAGAGGCATGATGATAAATAACAAAGGACTATACCCTGGAGCTTGTTGATTTTTCTGATAGGGATTTAGCTCTAATCTCAGACTACAAGGTTTAGTTAGACAAAGCTACAAGTAATTTCCAATACATTTCCTGCTATCTTAATGCTAATTTCGCCTGTTGTCTAGATTCTTTCATTCTAAAAGTAGTTGTTGATTTTGTTAAAATACTAAAAGGTTCCTAAAGTTCAAACAGTTTATTAGAGAAAATCAATGCTGTGCTGATACTTTCAGGGTTGCTTTTCAAGTGAGAATTTAACAAAATCCCAAGGTAAACTCATCTGATGTTTTATGCATGGTATTCAGAGAGTGAAAATCACTCCACATGAGTATTGTAATTAGATGATAGGCACAGGGATAGGAAATAGTATGGGCTCCTATTTTAGAGTTATGCTCACTGTCTGCTAGAGATGCAACAACACATTTGACATATTTTGAAATATATAATTTTATTAATTTCCGAGAGGAAGGGAGAGGGAGAGATAGAAACATCAATGATAAGAATCATTGATCAGCTGCCACCTACATGCCTCCTGCCTCCTGCATGCCCCCCACTGGGGCTCAGCCTGCAACCCAGGCATGTGCCCAGGGGAATCCAACAGCCTTTCAGATTCATAGGTCAATGCTCAGCCATCCCAGCCCTACTGGCATATTTTTAACACCGAGACTATACATGTCTCAAGGAAGCATTTTGTTCATTTGTTTTCTTTATGTGTATTTCGATATACAACTCACTCAGTTTTCCCCTTAGTTTCACACCATCCTAAAAACGTAAATTTAAAAAAAAAAAGCCCTATAAATAAATTGCATTAGCTTCCTTTTCTCCCATTCCGTAGCATTGTTTTAGTCAGTGGAGAGAGTTCCTCCCTGAAGTGTTAAAGGAAAGTTCTATTTATTTTGATTTGCATGAAAAAGTCCGCTTCATTTCAGGTTTCACTTCCAGGAGTGAATCACTAATGGATTGAACCTGCGGTAACTTTTGAATAAATGGTAAAAATTCTCGTTCTTTGCTCCCCCCGGCCCCCCTCGCAGCAGACCCATTTCCCTAGTTCGAAAGGTTTTCCCTCCCGAGTTCAAATCTTAAAACCCACCCTGGAGCCACCCCAGGAAGGCACCCCGCCACCGCCCATCTGGGGCGGTACCAGTCGAATCACAAGCTTCTGCCAGTTGATGGACGGGGCAGCACTGTGCCAAGAACCTGCAGCGGTCTCCCTGGACGCTGGCCATTGGTTGCGGGGGACCGCGCGGAACCAATGGGGAGAAGGCGCGGAACCAATGGGGAGAGTCCCCGCTGTGCGCGGGAAAGAGACCAGTATAAACCGTGCCCGGGTAGTTGCCATTCTTGTTCTTGTCCAGTGAGACGCCCTCCGTGGGAAAGCCAGCGGGTTGCTCTCACCTCCTCGCGTCCCAACATGGTGCGGACTAGAGCGGACAGTCTCCCGGGCACCTACAGAAAAGGTGAGGCAGTCAAGCGGGTAGTGGAGGGCCGGGTGTACCCCTCACCGTGTCCTCGGCCCCCACACTCCCGCAGATTTACTATTGGCATTCATTTACGGAGTCAAACCTGCAGATATCCTTTAAACCAGACCAATATGAGACTTCTCAATATTTTCTGCATTGTTAGATTAGTAATTAGCAGATTTGATGAAGACCTGTTTTTCCTTGTCACATTGTACTTCAAGATGCCATATGGACTGGGCTGTAGAATATGTGTTGGTGAAACTGGAGATATCTTTTGTCCTGAGTCTCTAC